AAAGAGTCAGTTTCTTGTTATGATTCAGACAGACTTCTGTTGGTGACCCTTCCACAGCAGTGTGGAGAACCCAGAGCCAACAGCCTCAGACAAGTGCCTGAGGAGTCACACAGTCAGACAAGTGGAGAGTCACACAGGACTAGTACAACGTGACAAGATCCCTGAAGCCTGTAGCTAGACCATCTTAAGGTAATATGCTACTGCAATGACCAAAGTTCTTTCCCTGCAGCCTGCAGGCACTGCAATCTGGAAGCAATGGATAAAAGTAGTAGTGACCTGAGCCACTCTTGCACTCAGACTCTAAGAAAGCATCTAAGTCTTTGTGAGGCACTCAAGCCAGCATCTGTAATTCAGCCTTCTGCCTCAAAAGAGCCGAGAAAGGGACTAAAGAGTACCAGCTCTGAGGACACTGAATTTAAACACATTGAAGATTTATCGAAAGCACAGATCTAAGGAAAAAAAAGGGATGACCCAGTCTTATTAGGGGACCACTGCACATGAATCTCTCAAGTCAAGGTATAATTAACTGTCAAATGTCCTGAGCACTAGGGCTCCCTCCAGCACCTCTGGTCAGAGGCAGCTCCTCAGCCTGTCACTGTCAGGACACTTGTTCAAAGCTGCCACTAACTTTCTCTTCTTTGTTCCACCCCACTTAAAATAGTCCTCCCTGCTTTTAAGGGGCCGTACAGCCCTTCTCCTTCCTGCTTCTGCAGGCACAAAGCAAAATACAATAGGGAACACTTATTTCTCCTGCTGTGCTTTCAACCAGTGTTGTCTGTTAGGTTATGTCATTAATGGCTAGTCAACATAAACACACCAACCTGGTTAGGATCAGATGGCCAAGGACAGGTGGAGGAAACCCAGAAACCTAATCTGAGCACACTGACTTGGTCACTCCTTGCCACCATCAAATGAGACAGATTAGATCATTACTCCTTGTGTAAAACCCTCCAAGATGAGTAAACCAAAGAAGCTTTCCCCAAACACCATGCAACCCTGAAGAGGCACAGGACTTAGCATGAGACGCAGGGGAAAGAGAATCCTGGGATATTTTAAGAGGGTTGTGTAAATGTGTAAGGCTTATTATGGAAGTTTACAGGAAAGACAAAAAGCAGGGAAAGGGAGGGATCAAAAGGAACTGGGCAGAAACAAGCATGGGAAAATAGAGGGAAAAGGGGCCATAGGGTGCCAGCCAAGTTTAAACAAGCGGCTAGTTAGTGTGCCTGTCTGACTGAGCCCTGCAATGGATCACTGCAGTCTGTCTTATATTCTCATTGAATTCTACATTTAACCACCTCCTGTGTGGGTGAGCTCTCTATTCCAAGTGTATGTGTTTGTATGAATGCTAGTGAACTTCAAGCTCAACCAGCCAGTGAGTAGAATAAGCAGTCTGAGTGCCAGGAACTGGAATGGGACCATGAATCCTACGGGCTCAAGGGTCCAGGTGCCAGCAACTGGAGGAGACTGGGGTCTGGGATTCAGCTACAAAAAAACCTGGATGTCTAGGACCAGCTGCTGGAGAGACACATAGAGTTGTGTGTATGTTCCACTAGTGGAATTCAATCCTGGTCAGACAGAAAGGAGGCTCAGGATCAGGCCTAAGTGTTGTGTGTTTATGTGTCTGTTGGTAAAGGCATTGGTTTCTGTCTGTGTTAATCCATGTGGGCAGCTGCATTAGTATTGTGCACATCTGTTCCTGTTGGGAATGTGTGCTCAGTCTTGTTACTGGCAGGACCTGGAGACATGGAACCACAACCTCATACCTAGTAGGAGGAATCCACCCAGTCCCCAAATCCACTAGATTCTGCAACACCTAACACTGCCTATGTGGGAGAACACTCCTGCCAGCTGGAACTCCACCTCTGTGCAACTCCTTCTGTGCTGTCCCAGTGATTCACAAACAAGAAATTTAGAAGCCTTTAGACTTAAAAATTTTAAAAAAGCACACATGGTGCCAATTCATCTGACCCAGCATGAAAGCAGTTTACAGACAAAGCCCTATTTAGAAATCCTTTTCACAAAGGCTACTGGGCCATTCGTTAGGAGAAGGAATAACTAAGACCCCCAGCAAAGCTCCCGACTTCTGAGCAAAAGCAGAGAACACCTACATTACTGTGAGGCTGCATCTTGCAGCTCCCTGTCCTATTCCCTGCATTGCCCTCTGCTGTCTGAAATAGCGATTAATCACTTCCCATGAAACCAAGAGAGTAGGTAGTTCTCCTGGCAGTACTCTGATCTTAGCACACTACAAACACAGGCTGCTCACCTTGTACTCAGTTTTTGGTCTGCGCAGCTCTGGAGCGTAGTTTTTAACTCCTGTGTCAGAGAGGGCTAAGAGGGAAAGGCAAAGCTGAGTAGCACATCAAAATCCTGCTTCACACCCACTTCCAAAACTGCCCTTTTCTTGGGTTTCGTGCTAGAAGACTCAAACTCAAGCCCCAAATGGCAATACAAAGTTTCTTTAAACCCAACAGTCGTCAGTTGTACATAAGCAGATTACCCCAAACCATCATGCCAACTCTTTTGCTTCTTTGCTGAATGACTTTCAGACAACCTGTGATTCGGTTTCCCTGAATTCGGTTTCCCTGAATTCAGTTTCACTTTGCTTTTTTTGGAAGTGCTTTGGTTGATGTTAATCTGCACCCCTCCCAAAATGAGGCAGGAATTCAAAACTTACCATCTGAAAGGGACTGGAAACTTGGAAGTTTGTTTCGTCCTGAAATCAAAACAAACACTCATGAGAAACTGTGTCTCCACCAGCAACATCTCTTGCAGAGGGCACACAAGCCTAGGCTGCAAGCCAGCGTGTTGCAGCTATGCCACTGTAGAACAAGCCACTCTGGAGAGTGATTCACACTACACCAGCGTAGCTGGGGCTCACTGGCTTGCAGTGTAAGGCTTTGCATTCATCTTCTAAAGGTACAGAGCAAGACAGAGAATCCGTGGCTTACCTCACATTACAGAACCATAAGAGCATGACTTCCTGAAGACTGGAAAACTAAGATAGTTTTCCTCCCTGCACAGACAAACCAGCTTCCAACGTGCATATGCTGCTGGCATCACAAACTGTATAGCACCCATGCCCTATCTGCCCTCTTGTTGTCAAAGCCAGGAGAGTTAGAGCCTGAATTTGCTCATCTACCTGCAGAGCAGAGGCTCAAGCACACAGCACTGCTTAGGTGATAGCAACACAGACAGTTTTGTTCACCAGGGCTGCGATGTGGATCCCTTTCATTATCACTGTATTTTTAAAGTTGAAAGTGGGAAAAAAAAAACCCAACTCCAACAAGCTGGCTTGTTGTTTAGCTGAGAGACAATAGAGCTGAACTCTTGCAAGCTGCAAGTCTCTCCACGGCCCGCTACACAGTTCCCCCCGCAGCCAGCTATGCTACCATTGCTGCTACCACATGTTTGCTGCACCAACTATAACATCAACAGCAGCCAGTTGAGCTCCAAATAAAGGATAATCAACCTGTGTTCTCTACAGTACTGAAGATCAAATGAGGGCCACGTGGGTCAAGCCAGTCCTTCTGTAGTTTGCTGTCTTCTACCATGCAAACAGATTGCTGTACAGTGGAACATGGCTTTTAAAAAGCTGTAATCTCCAAAGCCCCCTCCCATACCACAAGAGCCTGCGATCTTCTGCGCAAGACAGTCTCCAATTTCTGACCAGTGAGAGACACGTTCCCACACTGAGGAGAGATCAGAGCTTCCCTGTTTTGTAGTACACTTAAGAGAAAACAATTTACATAACACAATTGTTCCTTGATACTCTTGAGGAAAACCCCATTTGTCCACGTTGCGTATGAGCAACCTCACCTTTGAATAGGCTGCTTAGGGAGTAGGAGGAAACTTGCTTGGGAAAAGCAGCATAGGAGGAAGAGCCCTTCTGTAGGCTGGAGTCTCGGCCCTCCAGTGAGCTAGTGCTGCTGGAGGCTGTCTCTTTGATTGACCAGGAGATACCTATGTGCAGACAGAGGTCATTTATAACAGAGAAAGAGAAAAACAGCCTGCAAAGAATGATCTTATGGCATGGCAGGAATGTTATCAAGTGTGTCCTGGTCAGTTCTGCACTGGTATATCCCAGTAACTTTGACCCTCAGCACTACCTAGATGCAGTACACAGCATCCCAATCTTGTGTAACACTGCTTGTTAAGCAGTTGCACATTGTCCTCCAGAAATAGTTGATTTCAGCAATGTTGTACAGCTGGTTACAGTTTAAATAAAAAAAATGCATAGACCACCCAACATTTATATGTTGTTGCATGGCGTAAAGCTTAATCCTTGCTCCAAAGGTACAGAGCAAGACAGAGAATCCCTGGCTACCTCAATTTATAGAGCCGTAAGAGCGTGACTTCCTGAACACTGGAAAACTAAGATAGTTTTCCTTCCCACACAGACAAAACAGCTACCAACGTGCATTTGCTGCTGGCAACAATGCACATGTTTCCCTCCCGCTTGTTCGAGACACAGTTTTCCCTTCTTTTCATGCAGCTGCACAATACATACATTTTAGGACAGGGTGAAAGAGCAAAAAAGCTGAAAGGTAGAGAGCTTGGATGGGAAAAGAAACGGCCTGAACCAGAGGGAGGAGCTACAGCATAAGACAAGAATAACAGGCTCTTTGAAGGTCCTCTGGATGATCCAAATTTAAGTTTTCACTGTTCGACACTGGCCAGCAAGTGCCATATATTCTGTGGGTCACGAACTCCAAAGTGCAGCAGACAGCGCTGCGTGTGGGTCATGAGCTTGCTCCCATCATCACTAGAAATGCATTTGCTTAATGCTTACAATTCTCTTTCAAACTTCAAACATAAGAGACAGTCTATAAAAATACAGAAAGCCTGGGAATATCTCCTTAAATGTTGTGGGGACAAAGCACAGAGAAATTTTAATGGTGCCATTTCAGGCAGCAGCATGAAGGAAACGATCACCTAGAATTCTGCATGCCAGCTGAGCATGATGAATATCAAGCCATAACCTCCAAAATAACTGCTCTAAGCTGGGCTACGTATTGTGAAAACCACAGTGAATTCCCTCCACTTGTCTGCACTGCTCTTCTTTATGTAATTTGGGCTTCTGCTCGCTCTCTTTTCAGTGGATCCACATAGATAGATCAAGTGGCTTACTACATGACCTGAGGAGGCTAGAATCAGATTAGATATGCAGGATTAGATAGCAAGTAGTACTCCTGACCTCAACTAAGCAACACGACTTAAGCAGTAGTTTTAAACTCCCTCTGTCTCAAGGATAACTTGCAGTACTTCTGCACTTACTTCCCACAGGTTCTCCGCTCCAGCTGACCCTCTCAAGGTCGTCATCATCATCATCATCGACGATATCCCGAAGGCTGTTCACTGCCCGTTTGGATTCCTTTAACTACAGACAAAAGAAGGAGCTTGTATAAAGACCACCAGTGTTGCAGAGCATGCTTTGTTTCCTATTACCTTTAAACAATCTCCCTCAGAGCTTTTAATACAGCTTCTTCAGCCTCCACTGCCTCTTTTGGACAAGGTATTTTATGCCTGTGGGTGTTCAACAGACACAGCAGCCCTTCCTCACCACTAGGAATCCAAAGGCCACCGACACCTACACAGACACTGACGGCTCAGCCAGCAGGAGATGGCGTTCGGTGCACGGGCGAGGAACCACAGTCCTAGCGAGATTTCGGAGTGGCTACCGTAGGGGGCAAGACCAGAGCCCTTGGTGGCTTCCACAGAGGGCAGGACGCGAGCATCCCCACCCGCCCACGAAGCACAGACCCTCAGTGAGGCGCGGAGCCGAGGCCTGGGGCTGAGACAGCCACGGAGGGGCCCGCTCGGGGAGGGGGGTCTAGCCCGGGGTCGGACCGTACCTGTGAGAGCTCATCGTCCTCGTCGTCAAAGGTGAAGGCCCGGAACTTGGAGCTGTGCCAGTACTCCTCCTCGTCCGCCCTTGCCCTGCTCATCTGCAACGGCACCGCGCGGCTGCCTCA